GAAGACAACGGAAATGAGTTTTCTTGGGGAATGTGGGAGAAGAAATTGTTTTCTCCTGGATGAAGTCAGTTAATATTAATTGAACCTTCTCTAACTAATGGCAGAATGACTAGGGCACATGATTTGTTAATAAGGGTGGTCTCAACTTTTAGAAAAGGACAATGTGAGCGTGGCAAGGGACAACACCCAGTGAGAGACATCTTAGAGCTGTGCTGCCCAGCGTGGTGGTCACTAGCTATATGTGGTTAAATTTAAATTAATTAAAATAAAAAATTCAGTTCCTCGGGGACACAAGGCACATTTTAAGAGCTTGCTAGTCACACGTGGCTAGTTGCTACCATGCTGGACATTACGGTCATCATAGAATGATCTGTTGGCAGTGCTGCCCTGCTATTGGCTCCTTTGCATTTTGCAAAAGCATTTCAGACTGGCTCTCTCCCAGGTCTTCGTGAAAAGCCCATCTGGAAGCTTTCGTGGCAGGCCAGACAGACAGGTTGTGGTCGTGCATCCTGACTCTGCCTCTCCTAGGTCCTGTGTCACTCAGCGTCGTTGAGCCTGGTCTGTGAAAGGAGACTGGTCGTTTCTGGGATGTGTGAGAGGGTGTGACGGTGAAGGGGGATGAGGCAGGTCTAGCACTTTGTTTGCAGTATGCTAGTGCTGCACAATCACTCTATAAATGGCAGCAGCCTTTACTGTTACAGGTGAAAATGAGGTTCAGAGCGGTAAAAGTGACATGGTCAAGGGCACGGAGCTAATACAGGGAGGCCTAGAATGCCAACTCCCACCTCTTATCTCGCCTCTACTGCTCCTCCCTGCTGTGACCTGGACAGAAGAGAAACTGGTACAGAGCAGGCTGAGTATGAATCAAGTCTCAGGATGGGCTCAGCCCAGGGCCAGGCAGGATTGTCCTAGGGCAGAAGTCCAGGGTTTTTTAGCCAGATGCAGGGGTCTGACCCATCTTTGAAAAAGACCCATCTTTTTCAAAATCTGTCAGGCCTTGGAGTTTAGCTACGTCCCACATCCTTTCAAGCTAGAAACTCAGAAAAGTGCTTTGTTTGGCCCAACACAGAGTCCAGGAGCCTCAAGGCCCCATGAGATAGTTCCAGAATGAAGCAGATCTTGGGGCCGTCCAGGAAACACTGCCTCCTCCGGGAAGCCCATCCTGATTTTCTGACAATTCCTTTCTCTCCCTCATTTTCTTTCAGATTCCCAGGGCCCTCTTTACTTCTCTATAGTAGGAATTGCAGCTTGCTTCCCATAGACCATGGGTTCTTCACCTTTTTTGCTCCAGGAACATTTTCGTTGGAGGTTAACAAAAGTAAAGATGAATTTTTTTCTCCATTCCCCTGTTGAAAGACTCCCTGAATTCCATCCATAGAACTATAGAGGTCATTTCCAGCCTCTTTCAATCTGCCCTCCCCCAGTCTTACCCCAGATCTAGTCCTGTGACCCCTTGTGACCTCAGGGCCTGGAACACAGTAGGTGCCTGGTTTGTACCTTTGGGAATGAAAATGAGCCTCGCATGTCCCCTCTAAGTGCAGACTTGCCCCAGCCAGGGGTGAGCCAGTCTGGGGAGAGGACCGGTGACCAGATGCTTCCTAAAGAGTAGACACAGGTGCTGGGATGCCTCACAGGGCCTCTCGCTTCCCGGTAGCTGCATGGAGCTGCGCCTCTCCCTACAGAGGAGGAAGCTGAGTCCCAGGCTGCGGGGCTCGGAGGGGACTTTCAGGCCCCTTTCACACTGGGTGACGAGGCTCCTGCTGAAGATGCCACGTGGCTTGCAAAGCCTGGGGCATTGGGGCTGGCCTGTGGGCTGCCAACAGCATGTTCTTTCCCAGTTTGGCCCCAGATGGGCATGCCTGCCCCCAGCCCTGTTTAGCTGAAGCTGTCCTGCTTGATAAATAGGCCATTTGCTTCCTGAACTGGAGTTGGAATGAAAGGCTATAATTAGCAGAGGAGAGTGGATGGGATTGCACGCTGGCATTGACAGTTAATTTTATATTCAGATGGAAACATAAACTGATGTCATCAAAGATGTAAATATCATTTGGAAACCTTGAAGTTCCCGGGAAGGGTTATGCTGGCCTCTCTCCATACCCACTGCCCCTCAAACGCTTGAATGAGGAGCCCAGATCAGCCTGTGCTGTGTGGGGAGCAACCTCGGGGATTGCCTGTCAGGCTGCTCAGAGGGTGCGGGGGACAGCATTTCTGGCTGGACCAGGAGAAATGGGCCTGTGACAGCTGGGTGCACGGTGTGTGTGTTGGGGGGGGGGGCGTGTGTGTGCAGGAGGCTTGGGTTTGCATTTGCTATGGTAGCTTTTCCTATGGCTTTAGTGGTCTGGAAATATCACAACGCTGGCTAGCAAGGAAAATGTGATGCTTTGTAACAGGAGGGAGATCAGACCAAAGGAAGTTTTGTTTCCTGCTGCCAAAGCTGTTCTGGAGTGGGCCTGGGGGATCTGGGGAGCTTGTAAAAATAGAAGAAGCCACTGACTGCCTTTATGGAGAGGGGTCAGTTCTGCTCAGAATTAGGGCTAGTGACAGCTCTGGTGTTTTGGAGATGGTTTTCACACGTGGTACTGTACCCCGGAAGCATAGCCTCATGGGGAATGAGGGAGGGGACAGGCTAGGGCCCTTGTCCATCCTGCTCGAGAAGCACTCTTTTAGTTATTTATTTCTTTTACAACAGGAAACATAGAACTCTCAAAAGTACATGAATCAATTCTGAAAATATTAAGATGTTCTCTTGTTAGTTCAGTGACAACATGAGAATTACAGTTTTCATCAAGATGGAAGATAAGACGCCATCTCTGTAACCCTCAAATACGCCACATCCTTGCGTATTTACTTCACTCTCTTCCTGGGCTCTGAAGACATCCCTTCTCTGTGGGGTCTCCTTTAACCATAAACCTCAGCTTTGGGATGGAGGAATCTCTGGGCTCTGTGTCTGGTTCAGGGTTAGGGTTGAGTGAGTGATTCCTTACAAGTGCAGTCATTCAGAAGGGGTAGACTTTGTTTTTTAAATCTGCTTGCCCTTGTTCTCATAGGGCCCACGGGGCTTCGGCCGGCCTTGAACAATGATTTCACCATGTTCTGGGTTTTGGAGCATGAACTGACTGGATAGCCTCTGGTTTATCTATCAAAGGCAGATTTTATTTACTGTGATCACCATTTCCTTGTAGACGGTTCCCTGTGTGTGTGTGTGTGTGTGTGTGTGTGTGTGTGTGTGTGTGTGTGTATGTCCTTCCTTATACATTTTAAAATTTACCCAAGTGGGTAATTTTGATGATGTCATTTCACTCACGGTTTTCCTGATATGGCCAACTTATTAATAAGTAGCTCACGGCCACATTTATCAATGCCTTTAGAACTCCCTGGCCCAGGGTGTTGGAAAGGCATCCATTGTAGGCTGGAAGGAGTGGCTCTCAGTACACCCGGATTATTTTTTCAAACCAAGGGAATGGCACTTAGCTGTGAAACACAGCAGACTGCTGGATCTGAGGATGAGGGCAATGGCGTCACGGTAATCCTCTGCTCTCCCGTGTTTCTAAGTAAGCTTGGTCTGTTTGACTTTTGGTACTCTTCGCCATTTGTCAATGCTCAGGGAAAGCAGGCCCTTCCCTTTACCCAGGAAAGTCTTGATGCTTTTGAGAAGCAAGTCAAGGAGATCTACTTGGAGAACATGACACAGCCAATTTGAGGGTAGACCTGCGAGTCACTGGAGAAGCAGCCTCCTTCCTGCTCTGGATGTTGACTCGAGGGGAGCTATGCTCGTGGCATATCTTGCCAACGCCTTCTCTGTGTTACCCCTCACTTCCCTTAGTCGGGTCTTCGCTGACAGCAGCTTGGCTTTGGTTACTCTCCCACATTGCCCTACGCTCAGTGGGCAAGTCCAGCATATCTAATGATTTGTCCCTGCCCTTGGGAATGTGTGGCCCAGAAAGTCAGAATCCTTGCACAGGGTAGACAGCATTGGACTCAAACCCAGGTGGGTCTGTTGGGAAGCCCGGCTCGCATCCATTCAACAGGCATTGATTGTAAAGGCTGATGGTACTTCCTAAACGTCAGGACTGTTCTGGGTCCTGGGGGGATGCCTGGAACAGTGGGAAAATCCCACCTGGCATGGAGCTTATATTCTTGTGGAGAAGACAAACAATTAAAAAATAAAAGGGAAAAAAGTCGTATGGTAAATGCTGGTACGTGCGAAGAAGGAAAATGAAACTGGGAAATGGGACCAGGAGTTCCAGGGGAGGGGCTTTCTACTTTGAAATAAGATGGTTCTGAAAGGCCACACTGTGCAGGTGACAGTTGAGCAAAGGCAGGAAGGTGAGGGCGTGGGCAGTGAACGTGTCAGGAGGAAGAGCATGCCAGGCGGTGGGAACAGCCTGTGCAAAGCCTCGGGTTCTCTGACTCTCGAGCCAGTGGAATTTCCCCAGACTCACCAGTATTTTTCTCTAAAACGGCATTTCCATATAGGGTCTGTATTAGTCTGCTACGGCTGCCATAACAAAGTGTCACAGGCTGGGTGGCTTAAACAACAGAAGTTCATTGTCACAGTCCTGGAGGATGGAAGTCTAAGATTAAGGTATTGGCGGAGTTGGTTTGCTCTGAGGCCTCTCTCTTTGCTTTGTAGATGGCTGTCTTCTTCCCGTGTCTTCACATGGTCTTCTCTTTGTGTATGTCTGTGTCCTAATCCCCTCTTCTTATAAGGACACCAGTTGTAGTGGGTTACGGCCCCCCAGTATGACTTCATTTTAACTTAGTGACCTCTTTAAGGGCTTTCTCTCCAAATACAGTCACATTCTGAAGTACAGCGGTTAGGACTTGAGCATATGAATTTTAGGGGAATACGATTCTTCCCGTAACAGGTTCCCTCATGTACAGTCATTTGGGGCGAACACCCCCAATGGCAGGTACCATAGCTCCAGATGAACTCGTCATAGGAAGATCAGGTAACTGCCAGTCTTTCTCCTCTCTCACTCCCTGCTTTCTTGCTGCAGCTGATCGGAGCCCTGGTCCTGTCGGTGGGGATCTATGCAGAGGTCGAGCGGCAGAAATACAAAACTCTCGAAAGTGCCTTTCTGGCCCCGGCCATCATCCTCATCCTCCTGGGGGTCATCATGTTCATGGTCTCCTTCATTGGTGTGCTGGCTTCCCTCCGGGACAACCTGTGCCTTCTTAAAGTGGTGAGTTGGCCCCATGCACCCTTCAGCTGGTGGGTGGCTGGGGTCCTTGGAGTTAGTCCCAAGAGAGCTGAGGAGACTTCCCCATGGCCCTTGGGCAGCCCAGCTGTTTCAGTCCTTGCCTCAAACCAGCTCTTCTAGAGGGTTTCCTGGAACAGCCTTTCTGTCCACATTGGCCCAAGAGTGCCCAGGCCACCTCCACTTCTGCCTATAAAGGCTGGTTTGAATATTCCTCTTCTTACTTACTTAAACCCTGTGTTGACCCAGACTCATTTGGAAGTGGGAGAAACCACACTCAGATGAGAGCAGGTCGAACCAAAAAAAATGTTGTTGATGGTGAGTCCTTAGCTCATGTAACCAGCAAACCCACCCTGGGTCCAGGGTTGTAGCAGTGCCCTTGGGCTGTCTCTCCTGCCACCACCCAGCTGGACGACCAGCGTTGTCCTCAGCCTCTCTTTGCTGTGGTCGCCAGCAGCCTCAGGCCAACGGAGTCCTTGTAGTTCTTGATCTCAGGAAATCTTTCCTGGTAACTCTGGCCACAGTCCCAGGACTCCGAAGGGTCTGCTTGGGCCAGGCGCCTCCCAGAGGTCAGGGGGTGTGCTCAGCCCCACTCGCCTCCCTTGCCTCCCTTACTCTGGGGATGGGAATGGCTCTCCAAAGCCGGGAGTACTGGGTAGGCAGATCCATTTGCTCTACACCCACGTGTGTGTTTGACCTCATTGTCTCCCTGACACGGGAAGTCCCTAAAAGTCCCTATAAGCAGGGCCTTGGTGCTGCCTAAGGCTGGAAGTTGCTGGCAACAGTTGGGACCATTCCTGTTCTGTGATAAAGTGGTAGGGTGTATATCTTCTAAGATATCCCCTCACTCACTCTGGGGGTCCACTTCTGAGGGACTCTGCCTGCAGAGCTGGAAATGCTACCCCACCCTGCCCATTAAGCCAGGTCTGTCCCCTCTGTGTCAGCTGGAGCCAAGGACCAGCTGTCTTTGTGGGGGTTGGGAGAGGGGTGTGTGTTTCTCCACCTAGACTCCGCTGAGGAGCCCTGGGACAAACCTTGATAACAATCTAACTTGGACAACTGAATCACTCTTCCTGACCACGGTTCTAGAGACTGGCTTTCCCCGCGGAATGTCTGTCCACATCCTGTGTCCTCACAGGCGGAAGGGGCGAGAGGCCCAGGAGCAGTAAGCGCTCCGACAGAGATGATTTCCCTGATTGCATTTGACCTTGGAGCAGACCGTGCTTCCTCTGTTCCTCTAGGTGAATGTCTGAATTTTGTTTTTCAGTTTATGTACATCCTCGGGATTTGCCTCATAATCGAGCTCATTGGTGGCGTGGTGGCCTTGATCTTTCGGAACCAGGTGGGCCTGTGGCGCATTTATCAGCCACGAGTATGCCGAGTACCGACTATGTGTGAGCCCTGGGCTGTAAACTGGGGGTGCGCAGACAGCAGCCTAGACAATTCCATTCTGCTGGGGACATGGGCACTGAAAAAAGAAACCAGAGAACAAGAAAATAAGACAGGATGATGGGAGAGTGCCTGGGGTGGAGGTGGATAGTAATGGAATAATGAAAAGGAGAATACCAGGTGAGACTCAGAGGGAGCAGAGGTCCAGGCAGAGGGAACCACTGAGGCAAAAAGGAGCTTGGCAGGTGTGTAAACCAGTGGTGGTGTTGGAGGGGGGGGCTGCTTGGCTGAAGAGGTGAGTGACGGGGAGTTTGGTAGGTGGCTGGAGGGCCAGCCAGCACAGATCACGTGGGTTCTCAGAGTTCCTGGTTTAGGAGCTCGGAATCTTTTCTGAAAGCAAAGGAAGTGTTTGCAGAGTTTTATGGGACAGTGATGTCATCTGATTTACATTTTACTTGCTGCTGAGTGGAGAATGGAGAATAGGGAATAAGGGGGAATGCTGGGAGACCACCTGGAAGGCTGTGGTTGTCCTGGGAAGAAGGGGGTGATGACTTGGAGTGAGGTAGAGGCAGCGGGGCTGGGTGGAAATAGCAGAATTTGGTGTATGTTTTGGAAGCAGTGCCAAGAGGACTTTGTTGTGCTGGGTATAGGGGTGAGGGCAACAGAAAGGCTGATAGGGCAATGCCTGGCGTCTTGGCCCTGGGAGCCTTTGCAGAATCAGGGCTCCTTTGATCTGGAAAGGTTCTCAGGGCTCCTGGTCCCCCACTCCTCACATTGCAAGCCCTGTGTGTCTCATACTAGCTGTGTGACCTTGGGCAAGTACTTAACCTCTCCGACCCTCAGGCTCCTTAGAGGATCACAGTTCCTGACCTTGTGGAGTTTGGGATGAGGACTTGATGAAAGAATGGCATGGTTCTGGCCCCTAGTGGACCCTCATTATGTATTAGCTCCTCTGCCCCAAGGACTAGAGAAGGGACTTGCTCAAGTTCCCACAAGAAGCTAGTGGCTGAGCGGGGCTGACTGCCAACCCAGGGACCCATCGTTTCTCCCATAATCTTATGCCTCTGTTTTCCTCCCAGCTTTGGTGTTGGAGCTGGGGCTTGAGGAGCAGGGCTCATTTGCAGAAGCTCAGTTCTCTCTGTCCGTTCCCCTGCCTCCACCCCCCACCCCCCACTCCCCACCCAGATAGCTTGGTTCCTGGCACTCCCAGGCATCCCTGTTGGGTGGGTGCATGAGGGCTGTGGCCAAATTCTTTCTTGTCAGAAATTTAGCCCAAGGTTGCAGTCGCTATCCCAGACACCAGGTTGTGCAGATCCCTCAAATGATCCAGTGTCTGACTCCTGCCAAACTCGTCATGGGTGCAGCTGGTATTCTGGCCCAGGTGGGAGCAGGGAACACATCTGTGGGTGAGCCTTAACTACAGACCTGCTTACACCCCTGGAATCCAGGGGGTTTCTCCCTCTTTGATGGCATCATCGAGGCACAGAGAGGTTAGGAAACCCGCCCATGAGCACACAGTAAGACCAAGGCAGCTCAGTCTTTTGTCCAGTTCTTTTTTCCTTTTTCCCTCACTTTACTGAGGTATAATTGACAAATAAAATTGAAATGTATTTAAATTGTAAAGTGTAATGATTTGATACATTGTGAAATGATTACCACATCCATCACCTCACATACTTACCTTTTTTTAAACATGAGAATGCTTAAGATTTACTCTCCTAGCAAATTTCAAGTGTACAATTCAGTATTATTAATGACAGTAACAATGCTGTATAACAGATCCTCAGAACTTGTTCATCTTATAACTAGTAGCTCGTACCCTTTGACAGTCTCCTTATTTCCCCCACGCCCGGCTCCTGGCAGCCATTTTTCTACTCTCTGGTTCTAAGGGTTTGACTTTTTTTTTGGTAAGAGTCCACATATAAATGATACCATACAATATTGATCCTTCTCTGTCTGGCTTATTTCACTCAGTATAATACCCTCTAGTACCATCCATGTTGTCACATATGGCAGGATTTCCTTCTTTTATTAGTGACTGAATAATATTCCACTGTATATATAATATATACATTAATATGTATAATTATAATATTATATTAACACTATATTATAAAATAATATTCCATTGTGTGTGTATATATATATGCAATGGCTATATATATAAAATACAATATAAATAAATATATATGTATATGTTTATTTACATTTTCTTTGTTCATCTGTCAATGGATACTTCCAAGAATGTTCCCATCTTTTTTTTTTTTTTTTGAGAAAAGCCAGCATAAAGCACTTTTATTGCAATAATAAAACTTGAAACTCGTATGTAGTATTGGGGGTGTGGGATGGGGGGTAGGCAGCAGTAATTTCTCTCACCAAATCACCACACTGGAAAGCACAGGAGTGCGAAGAGGGAAGGAAAGGCCAGGAAACTGTGAGATCAGCAGGGGGAGCTGAGCATCAAAAAACAGGAGGTACTGAAGCTGTGATGACAAGCATCGTTTTCTTAAGACAACACTCAAGGATTTGTCGTGAGGGCTGGGCTTTCATTGGGTGTTAACAAACCGCAACTTCAATTAAACTTTTCATTAAAGTTCTCAAAATTTAGAAAGGGAGCCTGGATAGCTATGAGATTATAAAAGTCCTGAATATTCATTAGAAAAACCACAGGATGGGGAAAAAAAAAAGCCAGGCCACGAAGAAGGCTTCAGATGTTGCTGGCCTGGGATCGATACCTGTACTGTCCACCATCGCAGTGAAATCAACTTGCTTTTAAAAGGCAGAGGGTTTAAAGGAGGAGTGGGAGGGGGCAGTGGAAGCGAAGGCTTTCCCCTCCCGACTTCACGTTTGGGTAGGGCTCTTAGTTCACCCCAAGGACATCTCTCAACTTAGAGAATAATTTGGCTCTCAACAAGCGCCTTCAATCTGCTATGGCTTTGCAGCACAACAGCAAGAATGTTTAATATATAATAGATACAAATTTCACCCCAAATTAAATAAAGATTCTTGTATCTCTCCACACCCATTCCTACTCTCAAGTTAACCCAGTACTTGTGCTGTTAATACTTGACTAATACTTAATTGGAAACCTAGATCCAGAAGACTGGGAGAAACTATATTTTCACCCTAAAACGAACATAAAATAAAATGAGTAACTTGAGGTTTATGGCGTATGGTTTAGGTCAACACATATGCCAGGAGAAAGGGAAGAGCCAAGCTGGGTGACAGAACACGTGCAGTCAGGGTAGATGTTTATACAGAGAGTGTTGGGGGAACATCAGGAAAAGCTACCTATGGGCTCATGTGTGTACATCTGGGGGCGCCAGATTCATCCATGGCACATATTACACAAGAAAAAAGGGCTCAGGGAGGAGGCCATTCCTGTCATTCCAGTTTTAGCAGCTCCACGTCAAAGATGAGAGTGATATTTGGTGGGATGATGCCTGAGTGCCCAGTGGCACCATAGGTATACGAATAGTTGGGGAGATAGTCAGTTTGGCTCTCTGACCCACAGTCATCTGGGCGACCCCTTCTTCCCAGTCTCGGATCACCTCCTGCTTGCCTAGCATAAACTTGAAGAGCTTGTTTCTGTCCCGGGAGAAATCAAATGTCTTTCCATTTTCAAGGATCCTTTGGATATATACCCAGGAGTGGGATTACTGGATCATATGGTAGTTCTAGTTTGAATTTTCTGAAGAAACTTTATACTGTTTTCTATAATGGTTGTACCATTTACATTCCCATCAACAGTGTATAAAGGTTCCCTTTTTTTCCTCACCAGCATTGATATCTCTTGTCTTTTTGATAATAGCTATTCTAACAGGTGTGAGGTAATATCTCATTATGGTTTTGATTTGCATTTCCCTGATGATTAGTGACGTTGAGCATCTCTTAATATACCTGTTGGCCAGTTGCATGTTTTCTTTGGAAAAATATCTGTTTAGGTCCTCAGATAATTATTGTTATTATTATTTTGCTACTGAATTGCAAGGGTTTCTTATATTTTTTTATTATTAACCCCTTACTGGATATATGGTTTACAAATATTTTCTCCTATACCACAGGTTGCATTTTCAGTGTTTTGATTGTTTCCTTACTGTGTAGACACTTTCTAGTTTGATGTAGTCCCACTTGTTTATTTTTGCTTTAGTTGCCTATGCTTTTGGTGTCAGATCCAAAAAAATCATTGCTGAGACCAGGAGTTTTTTCCTGTTTTTTTCCCCTATGTTTTCTTCTGAGAGATTTACGATTTCAGGTCTTAGATTTAAGTCTTTTATCTATTTTGAGTTGATTTTTTGTGTATGGTGTAAGATAAGGATCCAATTTCATTCTTTTGCTTGAGGATATCCAGTTTCCCCAGCACCATTTATTGATGAGACTATCCTCTCCCTATTGTGTATTCTTGCAGACTTTGTTAAAAATTAGTTGACCATATATGCGTGGGTTTATTTCTAGGCTCTTTGTCCTGTTCCATTGATCTATGTGTCTATTTTTAAGCCAATACCATACTATTTTGATAACTATAGCTTTGTAATATGGTTTGAAGTCAGGACGTGTGAGGCCTCCAGCTTTGCTCTCCTTGCTCAAGATTACTTTAGCTATTTCAGTTCTACTGTAGTTTCATACAAATTTTAGGATTTTTTTCCGATTTCATGAAAAATGCCATTGGAATTTTGATAGGAATTGCATTGACTCTCTAGATTTCTTTGGATAGTACAGACATTTTAACAGTATTAATTCTTCCAATCCATGAACAAGAGACATCTTTCCATTTATTTGTGTCATCTTCAATTTCTTTCATCAATGTTTTATAGTTTTAAGTGTACAGATCTTTCACTTCCTTGGTTAAATTTATTCCTAAGTATTTTATTCTTTTCAATGCTATTGTATATTGTAAATGGGATTGTTTTATTAATTTCTTTTTTGGATAGTTAATTTTTAGTGTATAGAAAT